GCCTCCCTTGAAGGCAGATGGTTATGCAGTTTTTTTTTTTTTTCCTCCCTCAGGAACTCAGTGAGGCTCGCTCTTATTTTAAAACTTAAAGAGAAGAGGAGATGCTGATACTCCCTCACCCCTTTTTATATGATATCCTACTGGTTGCAATGCTTGTCCAGCTTTTTGTCCTTTTTTTCTGCTGCTCAGCAGAATGTTTCCAACTGTTGCTTACCATACATTGCTATGTTCTATCTCTTGCCAGACAACTAGTAGTGGAGCTTCATTTATAATATTGTATTAAATTGTAGTACAATAATTCTCCTTTCTTGCTTTATGGTACGCTTAGATCTATAAGGAAAATTAGTATCTGTTTCTTCACAAGAAATTCAGCAGGGAAGTGTTCTGAAAGCATTTTAGCTCGTGAGTCACATCATTATCACTTACTGAAAAAAAAATGGTATAAACAGCCACCTCATGCCACAAGCATAAAAATGCTTTATTAGTGTGAAGTTTTAGTTTTTCATTAACTAATTTTTAATGCAAATGCATTAGTCACAGTGAAATTTTACTGGGAAAAAAAGTGAGTACTTGGGCCTTTCAATGTATCTTTCTCAGGAAGAAAGTGAAAAGAGGTAACATTCCCGAGTGAACATCTAACCACACGCACATCGAAATGATGCCAATTTTTTTTTTTTAATTTTATTCCTATCAGTAGGATGCAAATAAAGTTACAGGTGTTTGTTAACATTGCATACCAGATAAAACAGCAAAACTATTTAACTATTTCCTCACAATAAACACTAAGAAGGAAAGTATAGCTTTTTGTGTGGATAACAGGAACACAAAATTTGTCAGGACCAATAAAGTGGAAAAGAGGAAAACTCATAGTTGGTTATATTACTGACACAGTCAAGAATGCTAGGTAAACCACTTCAGATTCAGTACTAATTGATGTGGAATGTGTAGTTGTACCAACATTTTAAAACACTCACTCTTTAAATGCAAACATTGAATTGCTTCTGTAAATTTGCCAAGGTGTACTATAAGGACGTTTTGGGACATGGCAGCATTCAGGTATTTCAGTTTTGGCTGTTATGCGTCTCCTGAATGTTTACAACAGCCTACAGTGATCCTTCACGTCTCAAAAAAAGTTACTGGAGGAGTTAGTTTCTGAGATTTAGCAATGATTTATGCATACCTGATACTTTTTTAACGTCGTTATCAAGTCTAAAAAAAACCCCATACAGTTCTTGATGAAACCAAAGACCTAAACAAAAAAAAAAAAACTGTGTCAGAAAAGATGTAATTCCTTTACTGGTCAAAGTGATGTAAATGGTAAAGAAGTTTTGTACAAAAGGCATAAATAGCAACACCTTGATATCTTTGGGGACATGTAGAAAAATGGGACTAAAAAAGTGGAAATTTCTCCCAAGTCCCTTGTAACTGCACTTAAATTATCAGCAGATGACATACCATCCTGCAGACAAATTGCTTCTTTATTCTGATTTAGGAAACATTATGCTAAGTAAAAAAATAATTCTCAGTGTGCAAATGGGACAAGATCAAGCCATTGTTGATTCCAGTTTCATGGACATTTTTGGGTACTCTGGAGAAAAGCGACTGCATACATGGACCCCGTGACTTTACATTATCTCTATCTAGAAATGAAGCAGTAGAGAGCTCCTCTCTCTTAAAAAACTCAAGGAGAGTATACTTCTAAGACAAAATTCCTACAGCTATATTCCATCTATATGAAACTACTGAACAAGGATGTACTTAGTATCTATTACTGTGAAATACATGCTTTCATGAATTTAAATACAGATGACCCACCTCTTGGCAACATTTGCTATATGCTTTTATTGATCAGTTTTCGTGTGAGAATATTTTTGTTCTGAGCTCTGTGCATTTGTGTTGCTCCTTCTTGTTCACACAGACTTTTTTGACAACAGCACTGAAGAAATTTTTATGACAATTATCAAGGTACGTTTACTAATTTTGCCGAAATAAAAACTTGTACCAAACTGTTCTAAAAATCTGGCATCAGGTTTAGTCTTTGAGAAGTCGGTAGCTTTGTTGTTATCCTTTTACACAAGCTGTTCCACTGTCTGAAAACGAATGCACGACTTTCTAGACTGATTTAAGCAGTATGACTGTCCCCTATGCTAATGAGTTCAGATTCATCCTCCTGACAGGGTTTGTATGTTCAACACGAAACAGACACGGCTAAGTATATGCAAAACGCCTCTGTAACAGGTTAAAAAAAAAAACATCCCTGCTCCCTCCCCAAAAAGGAGCAAAATCTATAGCGCCAATCTCCAAAACGTTCACTGGTTGCACTTTCTTTTCCTTTCCCTCTGCCCATAGCGGCACAACTTCAAGCAGGAGGGATGCTGTGTATTCCATCATGTAAAACTGCACACGTTTAAGGCACGCTTCAAGGATGTGGTAGATAGTTTTTAAACTCAGGCTGAGTGAAACCACTTCTGACTGCTCTAACCCTAAGATTATCATATTACAGCTGCCATCAACATGGTAATATTTGAATATTACAATGCTTCATCAAAAAAAAAAAAAGATAGTGGTTACACTATGCCCTCAGAAGTGAGTTTTGGACAGTAGATAGAACAGTAGGATTGACTTCAGCCTAAATTACAGTGAAAAAATATAGCCACCCCTCTACATTCCTTTGTAATATTAATATTCAGAAGCTCAAGACTTCTCCTTGCCTAGCACATGAGGAGTACAAAAAGCTGCCATTCTCGGGCAGCACTCTCCCAGGACACTTTACCTACCTTGAGTGCTAGATTTCAGTCTGAGGTTTTAGCCTGTTTTTATTAAAGGGATGAAAGTTATGACCAAATCTAAGTATGGTACTAATGAACTCTGCTCTTACATAATTGATCCTAATTAGTTTAATGGAATTTCTAGGGATGCAAAATAGGATAATCTATCACCATGTTAAATTACAAAGATAAGTCTAGTTAAATAACTTCAAGATACCTTAGGGAAGGGAAAATTTCAGTATTACAAGGCTTTCATCAGTCTATTACTATATTAAAAATACTATATTCTAGTTTTTATTAGAAGTGACAAAAGTTTGCTCAGACCTTTTACATAAGAACTGTCAATGTCTTTAGCTACAGATGGTGGATGTGGTAGTGGTGGTTGTGGCTGAAAAGAGCCCCAAATGGGAAGGCTGGGGTACAGAGGGCATGCATAGGACATTATCGCATTACATTACAGAACAGTATAAACAACTTGACAGTTCGTAATTAGCACGTGTACCCTTATTTTCTGTTACAGAAGTAAAAACACTGGGCAAAATTCAGCATTCCAAAGTAGCTTGCAAGTAGTGGCATTATGTTGGCTAATAACAGGAATAAACTGGATGTTTTGCACAGAAAATTAAAAGCACTAGGTTTACCAGTGATAATCTACAATTTTTGTTCCGAGCCGCTGTTATAGAAAAGTTTGAACATCACCAACATGCCTGTTTAGTTGCAAAAATGAATCAAGAAATTCTTTAAATTTTAGGATTAATTCAAGTTGGAATGATATTATTTTGAACATAAAATATATTATCAAGACTAGATAGTAACAGCTGTATTTAGGGAAAGTTACTATAGCTACGTGTCACAAAGGCAGCTTTTCTATATCTCAAGCTTGCCAGATAGAACTATGATGCAACAATCCTGGTCAGTGGTAAAACTCTATAAAAACTGAAGACTGACCCATAGGGATTGTTACATTTGCATGTGTTCATTCCAAACAACGAAATGAGTTATACAAGTACCAGCATCTGTGAATATCTGCAGGACTAGCTATCTCCTCTTCATACCATGTTTCCTTGTTGCAGCCACCTCATTTTACAGCCTGTTCAGGTGCACTCAGCTCTGGCCTGGAGAAAGTCCTCCTGATGATGGAAAAAAAGCAAACCTCCCAAACCCTCATTAAGTAACCCTAGAAGATTCACTAACCTACAACTGAGGGGCGCCTTATATAAAGCTTAGAAGATATTTTATGAAGAGCAAACAGCTGAAGCAACTCTGTTTATTTTAAAAAAAAAAAAAAAGGAAACATTTAAAAAAAAAAAATCCACCAACCTGAAGAGAAAACGAACTAAAGCGGGCTGCCTACACGCACA